CTGGCCGCGCATCAACAATCCCACGGCGCTTGAACTGTACCACCCAACGCGCAACAACACACTACGAGCGCCGTATGATCTCGTCTTATATCTCTGTACGGCCCAACAAATTCAAATTATTTATTGATATATTGAAGCTTTAATATTATTTTTCTTATAAGTACATTTTGAATTTCTAATGAAATCTATTTGGTTTTAAATATGTAAAATTCTTAAAATTGTTTATTTGATGATAGTATACGTCAACACGTATTGAGTTATGATGATTTCTTTTTAATTTCAAAACTATAATATTATAGAATTGTTTTGTGTGGGGTGGTATAGCACACACATATTATGTAATAATTATTTATTCATTTCGAATCATAATGTTTTGACTGTATGATCGCATACTTACATTTTACACGAAACAATTTTTCGACAAAATCATTCATGCTTCTTTTGGTGCAACTCGAAAACAAATAACTGTAAATTCTTTTGTTTAAAACATTTGACGCATAATATTATATTTTATACAAACAATGTTTTTTTTTAAATCCAATGTTTTCGGAAAAAATTAATTCAATCTGCTGAATTACTAATAGTAAAATAATTAACTAAAATATTTTTTTTTTTCAATCTCAGCTGTAAAATAAATCATTTAAAAAAAGTTTAACTTGAACAAAAAAATGTTATCAACATTTACAGAAAAAAACGAAAAAAAAATTAAAAACTGAAAATGTTTTTTTTTAATTTAATATTTTTATTTACATAACTTTAAAAGTAACAACTATAATAGTTCGATTTTTTTATTAAAACAAAATTAGAGAGTCAATACATATTATGAGAAATCGGATGAAAATCTAATATCTTGAAAATTTGAACTTCAAACTCTTATAAAAAATTAATTTTGATTTCACGGGAAACTTTTTTTGAAAGGAAAACTTTTACTTAATCTTGTATTAAATTTTCGAAATTTTCATATAAATATGTTTAACATTTTTAACTTAGAATAATTTGCAAATTTTAGCAATATTGACGAATTTTATCTAATAACTCACTTCTTACGCTCAAATTTTTTTTATTTCCACTAACAACTAACAACAACTTATGATGAACTTTGTAATACATTTTCAAATTTTTTTTAGTTATAAATAGCTTAAGAGGAGTCAAAATATTTTGAAAATTATATCATGTACATTAAATGATCGTACTAGCATTTGGCCAAAATGTCATGTGTCTACGATTTTTTTTTTAGAGTTACACCAAAAACCAAAATCTGTTAAACAGATTTTGCAAAAAAATCAATTTTTCCTACATTTTTTTTCTTTGTTTTTCTCGAAGCTTTTGACCTCGCAAAAGTATCAATTAGATTCAATTTACAACCAGAAAAAGCTTAAGTTGAAAATCGAAGTATTATTTTCAGTTTTTGACTACTTATCTAGTATACATACACAAAAAATAATGAAAACACATATCATTGTAAAATCAACAAATTTATTACTCCACTTAAAATCTAAAATTATAATAAACACTAATTTAAATTAATTAATGTTCACTAATATACTTATCTCCTTATAAGTTATATTTGAATATATAATTATATGTATAGGTATATTATATTTAAATAAAAAAAAACTTAAAATGAAATATTATTTTACGTTAGTAGTTTTACCTATAGTAATTTTGTAAATCACGCGCATTCTATTCTTTCCTTGCATTTTAATGTATTTTTTAATTAGTATTATGGCAAGTGATTCTTAACTAAATATCACATATAATAACGATTAAGTACCTTGTATCTGTCTATACAAACCTCACTAATAAGGTATTAAAATATAATCATATTAGTAGGAATAATAAATAAATCATAAAATGTCAATAAATATTTACCACCCTTTTAAAGGACAAACAAAAATTACTACCTTCAGTACGGTACACTTGCCCCCTGCAAGCCTCCAACAAATTCATGACTGCTAGTGGGCCACTAAAAATTTATTTTCCAGGGGTTTTCCGAAATTTCTATCCGTTAATGCTCGAGTTCAACAAATTATAAGTCTCTATTCTACTCTCGATCCAAATTTCAGAATATATTCATTCAACTAAAAATGTTCAAAACCACTTTAAGATACTACATAAATAACTAATATTAAATCATTTAAATCACAATATCGCGCTAAAGTAAAATGTTATTAAGAAAGTAATACAAATAATAACAATACAACTACCTATTAGGTACTTCAATTATTCTCCCTTTGCTGCCAATAATTTGTGAAACGTTTTTTTATGAATTTAAATTCATTAATGAGGTGCGTATTGTTATTTCACGAACAATACAATACATTTTTCACAAACATTATGCGCAGTTCAGTAGAGCTTTTAAATAAAAAACTTAATCAACTGAATTTGTTTTTAAAATATCTAAAAATAAAAATGTTAATAATACGCATTTAGTTTTGACAGTGATCGACGTTATACAACAACACGATTTTTTAATTTAAATTTAAATTAAAAATGTAATATTTAACGAGATATTTGGAGTGGAAAAATTACTCAATGACGTCATCAGGACATATTGATGAACATAGTCACAGTCCATACAATATTATTATACGTTCCGATAACGTAATAGTTTGTATGGTTAATATGAAGATCTGCATGATCAGACGTAATTATGGAATATACAACGATATTATTATGTTAGGTATATTATGTATATTCAAGAGGGGAGTGGATGAAAAAGAGGGTTGTCACCCCACCCCACCCAATACTTTTAAAAAATGCTCTTATTTTTGCATATGAACTGAAGTGTTTCTGAAAATTAAACCATACCAATCATTAATGGCAAGATTTGTTTAAATATGAAATGAAATGCATTAAATGCATTATAGTATATTGTATATAGGTACCTACCTACATAATGTATAATATATTCATACCAGTATGCATAATATGCATAATATTATATACATGTATGTTATATTTTGTTGTTTAAATTTTGGTTGAAATAGTCAATCCATACAACTGTGACTTAAAATAGGTGTTATAGGAATGTTCTGGAACTCTACTTGTGCCTTGTTAGGTGCCTAACTTGGTTTTGTAATTACCTACTTTAAATTAAATAAAGCAAAAATATTTTCAAATACTTTACGAGATAAAGTGTGTTTATATTTATTTGAAGTTTAAAAAGTAGTTTGTACCGAATTCGTATTATGTATAAAATTCAATTTTCTTAGTACTGAATTAGTTAATTCATTAATTTAATAAATACAAATAAATCAATAGAACGTAAATAAACTGTATTGTATCTCTAAACTAATAAACCATTCTATTTGGACAAATATTTTATATCGTGTAATATTATCATTACAAGTATAAGGTGTAACTTAATCGATATTATCCGCCTCTGCTTAAAATATAGATTTACTAGGACGACTACTTGTCGCCACCAGAATGTATACGCACGAACGACTGACGAGACCAATTTTAATGAAAATTTAAATCACTATAATATCTATTTAATGATTATTTTTCAATATTTTTCTTATTTTCAAATGCATATAGGGAGATTATTTGTAGATATTTTAGAGAATATTAACATAATATTTTATCCCCTCAATTTTTGTTCCGATTCGAGCACTCCATACAGATTCAAAATTTAAAAAAATCTTATGATTTTAATTTATCATATAGTTTTTCATAATCATTTGTTTAAATACTGTAGTACACTGTGAAGTGTCTTTTTCTAAAAATGTAAAGACTAGACTAATGACTGTTAATGTGTAGGTAACCACGATTATGAAGAATATTTAGCCTTTAAGTATAATCATTTTTGACTTACTGTGATAGACACTGCACACTGACCTACCGCAATATTTAACGATGTTTTACCAAATCTATAGTTCTAGAAGACTAGAAATAAAGAAAGAAGGATAAAGACATATGCATAAATTGATAAATGGTGGCATTTATATTAAGGATTACAATAACAACTGTGATTTCAAGCAATGTTCTTATATAGTTCCTACTTAATAGTTATAACATGGTGACATGATTTGGTATTTACCCACCGTATAAAGCACAAGCAGAAGAGTTTAAATTTAAACCGTACACTTCATTACTTGATAAATAATAACAATTTATGATAAGTTGACATAATAATTATTACTTTTTATATTTTAATTATTTTCTTTGTTGTTGGATCATTATTTTGGTAGCCCGAAAAAAAGCCAAATTAAAATGAATGTGATAAGCTGAGGAAAACAGTATAAATCGTCAAGATATAATTAATACATACAATAAGATTGGGAAAATGGACCAAAAAAACTCTTGTATAATAAAAATAAACATTGACAATAAAGTCATGTAGTAGGTTTAATGGATACATTTGTTCTTCAATGTTAGGACACGTGTAAATCAAGACCATTTTGTTTGATGAAGTATAAATACTTTTGACACTTTTTATGTACTTGCGATTTAGTGTTAAATATTATTATGGTATACTACATACTATATGCATACTTTTTGCTTCTAAACTACATGATATTAAATATATAGCCTCACTGCTTACAGAAACCATTAGACAATTTAAATATATATTTCAATAGGTACATTATTAGGCATATTACTAGGCATTCTCTTATGGCTGTAAAATAAAAAATTTTGTTTTTTAACATTTACATATTTCATTGCTTTTGAAGAATGATTTTAGTATTGTTATAAATACTAAAATATAAATTAATAATAACAATGTTATTAAATTTACCTACCATACCTAGTTTTTTTTACATGCACACGCACGGACAATGCATCACAATTTATACAATATCACAATTTTGTAAAACTGTAGAAAATGCATGTATGTGTCATTTACTCATTTGTTAAACCGTGATGCTTCCAATAAAACAATCACATAACTCATTGCATGGTGTGCTATAGGAAATGATGGTTTATATTTAAAGAGTGCATTAGTGTGATTTAAAATAATTTTTTATTGTTTTAGTTAGGTACAAAATTGACAATATTTAATATTTATCTCTGTAAAAAAAATAATTTATAATGTATAATAATAACAACTTAATTTTTATTCTGTAAATTGAAAATTGTATAAAGGTTTGTTGTTGATTTCACTGTGGTAAATAAGCACGTTGATTCTTAAATCTCTTAGCTGGCTCTACTGGACACATAGCATTACCTCCATGTTGACGATGAGGCTTATCAATTATTTGCCAGTTATATTTCTCATGGAATTGAATTATAGCTTCAGAATACAAATTTGCAGCATGTGCTGATGATATATAACTTACTGCAACTTGCCGCTTCCACTTAATAAAGTACACTATTTCGCCATTAAAGTTACAAGCTCCCACAATTTCTTCTGGTTCCAACGAATTAGCAAGTGCGAAATCAAGTCCAACAGCAAGTTCATATTCAAATTTGTCGTAATCAAATATTATATTGTACGGTCTTAATGCATCAACCCTGTGAACATTTCATATTTTTGTTTCATAAAAACACATAAAAGTGAACAATCGATAATAATGTTAAAATTTGGAATAAGGTATTTTCAACAGGTACCAAATATTTAAAAAACAATCCACAAACCAATGTCAACAACTATAAATAATATTCCATTCAAAACTTATTATAGGTTTAACAAAATTATCTATTCATATTATTAATTTTATACCCGTAAAATTAACTCTATAGAGTTTAAAAGAGGAAAGAAATACTAACAATAGAAACAATAATATGACATGTTTTTTTCAAAAAAAAAAAGAAACCAAAATGATGGTGTAATAATTTTATATAAAAATAATTTATGTTTAGATTGTATTGAGTTTGATAAAACAGAGGCAAATATTGTAAAAATAACTTTAAATATTGTAAATAGTATTATAATTTTTTTCTGTATCTATAGATCACCGGCTATGGATAGCTATGACTTTTTGACCACTTTTAAAAATATATTATTAAATGAAAAAAATGTAAATAGTACGTCTACAGTAGTTCTGGGTGATATGAATATAAATATAGTGGGAACACATTCAGTAGATAATGATTACTTGGATATGTTATCTATGTGTGGTTTCAAATCTTATATTAATGTATACACAAGGACTCCTTTAAACTCTAGGCATTCATGTTTAGATCATATTTTCGTAAAAAATAACAAGTTAGTAGGAAATATTGAAGCTGGTGTAATTCAAACAACTATTACTGATCATTACTCTACGATATTAGCAATTCCATTAGTAAAACAAAATAACTCTAAATCCCAATATAATATTAAATCAATTAATTTTGATAAAATAGTTAACAATTTGAAAACTGAACTATGGATAGATCTATACAATAGCAAGAATGTAAATAAATGTTGTGATATTTTTTATAACAAATTAAATAATAGTATATCTCTGGCAACGGAAGTTAAAAATATAAGTGCTAAGTACAAAAGAATAAAACAATGGATGACTGCAGGGCTACTGTGTTCAGCACGAAATAAACAGAAAATCGCAATGAAAGTTAAAAAACATCCAAATAATACAAATTTACTAAAGTATTATATCAATTATAAAAATAATTTTACAAACATTTTAAGACTCACTAAAATAAATTTTTTTAAAACAAAATTTAAAAATGTTGCATCAAGTCCAAAATTGACATGGAAATTAATTAAGGAAATTACAAACACTGAAGTAAACTCATTGAACGAAATAAAATCTATATTAATAGATAACAAAGTCATAAATGCCGTAGATGAACCACACGCTGTTTCAAATTTTTTTAATAGCTTTTTTACTGAAATAGGGAAAAATACATTAGAGAATAACACAAATTTTAAAGATAACGAACTTAAAGATAATAAAAGTGATCTCTCATTTGATGATATTTTTAGTACAAAAATTACAGAATCAGAAATCTCAAATATAATTAAAAATTTAAAAGATGAAACAGCTGCTGGAATTGATACAGTAACGGTAAAACTAATTAAGTACATTGAATCAATTATTATAGGACCACTAACTTATTTATATAACTTAAGTATTGAAAAATGTATTTTTCCTGATAATTTCAAAATTGCAGTAGTAACTCCTTTATACAAAGGTGGTGATCACAAATACGTAAATAATTATAGGCCGATATCAATGTTAAATAACTTTTCAAAAATTCTTGAAAAAATAATCAAAAATCGACTCATTAATTACTTAGAAAAATATAAACTACTGTCTAAAAATCAATATGGTTTTAGACCTGGCTTAGGGACAGTAAATGCACTTTATAACGCCACGAGTCACGTATATAATGCCCTTGATCATGGTAAAAAAACATTAGCTGTTTTCTTAGACCTAGCAAAGGCATTTGACATGGTTAATCACGAAGAACTAATAAAGACTCTACCTAGTTTTGGCATAAAAACAACTAGTTTAAATTGGTTTAGAAATTATCTAAAAGATAGGCAACAAATAGTTAAAATAAACAAAACATTGGGTCAAAAAAGGAAAATCATATGTGGAGTCCCACAAGGTAGTGTTCTTGGTCCTTTATTTTTTATTTTATATATTAACTGTATATGTAATATAAATATAGATGGTAAAGTTGTAACATATGCGGATGACACCTGTCTACTCTTCACAGATAGCTCGTGGCATTCTGTACAACTTAAAGCAATATCTGAGCTCAAAAAAGTAGTAAATCTTTTTAACTCAAAGAAATTATCTTTGAATATAAAAAAAACCTATTTTATGGCTTTCAGTATTTACAATTCGGTTATTCCTTTTCAGGAACTAACAGTACATTGTTGTAAAAATATCGCTGAATGTAATGATGATATGTGTAAAAAAATTTCAAGGGTCCAGTCTACCAGATATCTAGGTATAACATTTGACAGTAATTTAAAGTGGAATTTACATATAAATAATATAGTAATGAGGCTACGTTCTTCACTCCACAAATTTTATAAACTAAAAAATATCCTGCCTGTAAATATATTACGCAATATATATTTAGCTCTATATCAATCAGTGTTCCAATATGGATGTTTAGTGTGGGGTGGACTGTCCGAAATTTATTTAAAGCCATTACAACTTCAACAAAACAAAATAATAAGAATCTGTTTAGATAAAAAAACTATGGTAGGCTCAACAAATCAAAATTATAAAGAGTTTAAGGTTTTGCCTATTAGATCGGTTTACAAAAAAATTGTGATATTTTGGTTAGATACTAACAGAAAAACATGGTTCAATACAGAGTTATACAAAAATAAAAGACAACACAGGGCATTAGATGCATTAGTAAATTATGTAAAAACAACGTGTGGTCAAAAATTCATAGACTACCTTGGGCCTACTACATTCAATTCATTGGATTATGATATAAAACAGAAATTACAATACTATACAAACAAAATTAAAAAAAAAAAATTAATTAATGAATGGTTATTGTGCAACTTACCTTAAATCAAGTTCTTTTATATTTTAAGTTATGTAAATAATTTTAATCTATATTTGTTTTAGTCGTGTATGTTTGAATATAATGTTATTTTATAGTTTTGTTTTTTTCATGTACAATTTCTAGAAAAATGTATATTGATATTTGTTTATTTAGTTTTATATGTATTTAAAATCTTAATTTAATTTAGTATAATTTCTTTTATTAATAATTATATTACATAATTTAATAACTCTCTATCTCCAACACAAGCTTTGCTTAAAGGAGATAGATAATCGAAAATGTTATCTATAAAAATAATTTATGTATTTCTTTCTTTTCGATAAATAAAAAAAAAAAAATAAAAAATAATATAATATCATATGAGAAATATGGAGTCAGGAGCATAACCAGCAATTTCATATGGAGAGAATATGATTGTAATAATATATTTTTGTTTTGTACAACTAAACATAACCATTAACCATAATATAATAATGAAAATATTTTATAAAAAAACAAGTAATTAATTAGGATTAAGCCTGACTGTAAGCTATAGATTATACTTTTTACTGTATTATCATTATTATTATTATTATTATTAATATTTTTTTGTTGTTTTCCATATTTTTTATTTTTTATTATATTTTATGTTTCATAATTTATTTATTTCATCAATTAACAGAGATAACTATGAAAATAAAAATAAATTTAAAAATTTTTTATTTTCATTCAAATATTTTTATAGAATAGTAATTTATTTAATTAATAGTAGAGTTGGTAGCCTAATGGTTATATTACAATAACATTACTAACATATAAATATAATTTTGAATAATTTATTATTCTCAAATAAAAACTTTTACAAGATGGTATGTGTGAAAGTATAAAAATAAAAAGATGGGTCAACATTAGCAATCCGCATCACCCTTGTAAGGGGCTTATTAGCAATCATAGCTTGTGGTACATATTGAAACATATACTCTGTCACGAGAAAAGTAAACCATTTTGTGCATGCTAAACTGACAGCAGCGACAGTTTTCCCCATTTTGTGCCATTCAGTATAGCGGAGATGTATAGAATAAAACACGTTTTGGTCGGGACAAGGTTTATTCTCTTGTGGCATGGAGTATAGAATAGATATTTATAACATAGAGAAAAAGAAGGGACTTAGAGAAATTAATGCAACCAAGGAGATTTAGTTTATCTGAGTATAACTTGATAAGAAAAGCTACATTTAGTATAAGACTTTTAAGTATAAGTTACACAATATAAATTAGTAATTATTTAACTATAAGATTTATAAGAATATAGTGTCACAACTTTGTTTAAATTAATTGAGCTAATATATTTGACACAATTTTTACTTTTTAATTTTATATAATTTAAATTACTAGAGTTTTCAGATGATTATAATAATCATGTTATGGTTTAAAAAATGACACATACATTTTTTAGGTACTTTTATAAAATTAGGCGAAATTACATGTACTTATTCATTATTGTTTATTCCTACATAACTACAATTATTGAAACAAAAGTGGTAATCGGGAAGTGATTTCTTATCAATTTTTATTAGTTATGGAGGTAGTTATACTAATACTTGGGTAAATATTAGATTTACAATTGAGACATTTTAGTTATGTTTCATGGTTTTGTCACTGAGAAAGTGAGTACATCATACATGTATAATTCTCCAAAGTTTCAGAGCGAAAACATTAGATACCTATGACACAATCATGTATCATAGTAAAGAGCTTATAAATTAAAAACATTTTCTGTGGAATAAAAACTATGTTACGCAGCTTAGCCCCCCCCCCTCTCATAAAAAAATGTCTCTATTACTGATAGTTTACAATTCAGTAACTAGTAGCATGATGACACCAAGCACTAATTACCATACAATAACATAATAACATAAATAAAATAAATACATATTTTATATAGCTACAGTAGAAGCTGTTTATTAGAAACACATTTAATTTATACAATTCAGTTATCAAATATAAATACGGATAAGAAAAACATATTTGTTTATCCAATATCCAAATATTTGGTTTTGCAATTAGTATTTCTAAGGTTTTGAATAAATTAACAAAATAAAAAAAAACCATTAATATTATAGACACATTTTAAAACAACGGAAAGAACTATTTAATACATACAAAAGACACTTTTTAACCATTATTAAATTGCAATAAAACTTTCTATTATGCAAGAGTATTGTAAATCTCACTAAAATAATTATTTAGGGAGTATTGTAAAAAAAATATATATAAAGTTGCATATTGAAGCATATTCCTACCTAAAGTTGTAAGTTTAAAACTTTTCATTTGTTGAAATTTTCTGAACATTTTCAACTTTCTTTGAAAATGTGATTTTTAGTGTATTTTTCTTTACATAAATAATTGTCAAGGTTGTATGGTTGATATGTTAGTTAAATGTCTATTATTTAATTAAAAATTAAATAACTGTGAATATAAACTACAATTAAAATATATAAGTAGGTACATGTTAAATAAAACATTTATCAATTAAAAATAGTTCCGACTCAACGTTTTGGTTGAAACTAGGTAAGTATAATGTAATATGTTATTTGTAATAACTACTCATAAAAAGTAGTTAGTGTGAAATTGTGAAAATAACTTAAACAATAAATAACAAACATGGAAAAATTAATAAATGTAGGAAAACGATTATAAACTAATATTTATACTGAAGTAAAATAAAAATTTTTTAATAATAGATAAAAATGCACATTTATTGCTAAGGTAAATTTATTTGTACTTTAGATTTCTCATATTATGTTAAATATAATAATATTAAAATATATAAATGGTAATACAAGTACCTACTCAGTTTTCAATAAAATTATGTATTTTTACTTTTTGAATTGTACATTTGTACCTACATAAAAATTAAAATTAAACAAATTTGAATGATACTATATTTTTATCATGTTGTTTTTCAAAATTTGTTTAAATACTGTAGTACCTATACTGTGAGGCGTCTCATTTCTATGCATAGTAATTAATTTTTAAATACATAATTTAACAAACGACCCATCACCCATTGAAAGATTTTTGTTTAAGTGAACCTTCCAAACTCTGGCTAGTTACAACATATTTTCAAACAATGCCTGCCACAGAGACAAGTTTAATATCAACAATTGTGACACAAAGATAACATAACATCAGTGTTGTTAAACATACTTTTTTTAAAATTATTCAAATACAGATAGGTAATTATACTTATTTTGATGAGTATTTAAATTATGTAGGTATTTGAATACTCAATAATAAATTTATTAAAGTAAGTCCAAAAAAAAATTCTTTAAAAAATGTTTATGAGTTTGTTTTACAACATAAATCAACTAAACCAATTTTCATGTTTTACATTTATTTTAAGAGCATTTTACACATTTGATGGAACTTTAAAATGTTCATCTGTTTGCTTTGCCTAAGTGCATATTCGAATTTCCGGTTAAATATAATTCACAGTTAAATAATATATTATTAGCAAGGCAATATTATAATGTTTGCAATTTTTTATATTTTCATTTTGAGTGATCAAAATTAAAATAGAAAATAAATTAACTAAAAACAATAAGTATTTGAAAATAAAGAATTTAAAATTAAATAGGATAAATAAGAATTTAAAATACGTATTTGAGTAGGTACTAAACTGTCAAGTATTTTAATATCTTTACTCGAGTATGGACTTTACAAGACTGCATAATATAACAAATGTAGGTAAGCTAAAATATTGTGTTTACCCCGGAAAGATCATCCAAGTACTGCGTTTGCGTTTCGCATCTTCGTCCCTTTCTGGAAGTTTGCGTTTCATTGATAGACTGGACATCACGCTGACAGGATTCAACGGTGGTGCCACAGGACGTAAGTATGGCAGGACGCACGAATTTGGCGGTCAGTACTGCGAGACGTAGTAGGTACTTGTTGAATGGCGATCGTACGGCGACGACGTTATCTACTCGTCAACAACAGGCCACGAGGTAAGCACTGAGCACGTCGTGTCCAGCGCGAGCGGCGAATTGTGATTTGTGAGCTTAGATTGTGTAGCTGCAATGGATTTAACGTAATATTATTGTGACCAATAAACAAACTCCCGCGCAGTGCCACCAAGATTCCGCGCACGCTCAGGAAGTCGAAACATTCGTGAGGCGCGAAGCCGCCGCAAAGCTACCTATCGCGGAGATAACGCGAGTACGCGATGGGAAATTCACACGTGTTTCAGGCCTAATGTAAACGACATTAAGTGTTTATGATAATAATTACTATGGTTATGGATCACTCGGAAGACGAAACTGATCTATGGTGTGACTCTTATCGAGGCGGAGTGAGGCTACGAGAGTCTAAAAGTTATTTTCAATGTTATATACGAAAATAGTACCAGCTGGAACGGCCATCAATGACGACAACAATTAACAACTACACACCGGCTGTCGGCTGCCGCTGTGGGAGTGTTTATGTTATAAGTACCTAGATGATTTTGAGGCCTTAAAAAAACTAGAAAAAACATATGTTAAAATAAAGCGACAAAGCTCTAATTCTATCTGAATTATATTATTACCTACCTATATTTATATGCTAATTAATGTTGCTGTAATTATTGTTCTTTCAACGGATAATCCAATTATTGAATAAACTATTATGGGTATTTTATAAAAATACATTAAACAATTAAAGTACTAAAATAATTTCTTTGTATCTTTTGAGTTGCATTGAACAATTTAAGTTTTCTTAAAGTTTTCAAACAAAAATTTCCTCGACAATCAGGCATTATATTATTATGCTTAAATTTTTCAAAACTAAGTTCTACGTCAACTGATAACGTTTGATTCAAATTGTATTTAAAAATTGAAAATCATAAATACTATTTGTATGTTCTTTTAAATAATTAGTACACGAGTAGGTACACTGAATTAAACCAAAAAAGCGAAATAAAATTATGTACCTTCATTTATTCTACATTATATGAATCATGAATAATCATAAACGCTAGTTGCTTGAACTGGTTATATTATGTACTTATATTAGTATGTTACTGATATTAAATTTCAAGATACAACAATCTAACGTTATAAATATTACAAGTACAAATCGACACAACTGATAAAAATGTTAACGGCATGTCCGCATCACGGTATCTCTTTTCACGCTTGTTTAAAAGCTAATCTTTATCGTTATGAAGTTTCTATACAAATGAAAAACTGAAAACCACCGTTTCTCTCCCCGTTGGTCGTTAAGCGTATGTTTAATGAAGATAAGAATCCCGTAAGTCCGTATCCATAATATTTGAATAATAATAGGTATTATATTGTTTAATGTCAATGGCGTATCGACATACCGTATATTATTTATTCATACATGCACAATGGACCTAACACGGACAATGTAGTACCTATTATAGTCATTTAATATCAGTAATCACCAACATTCAATTAGCAATCCCATGTAATGACAACAAAAATAAATAACGTTTATTTAATAGGGTATGCGCTTATTAATTATCAGTAATATTGGTTATTGATTTATTATGTATAGTTAATATTTTAAAATTAATTATACCATTTAAAGATACAAAATAATAAATAAATATTTCAACGTGATATAAAGTTATTATGTAACAATTATTTGTAATTTTGTCCATGTATTAATTCGAAGTGTATAGAGTACATTCAATATAGAATTTTCTGAAAACAATCTAATAATCTGAACATTTTTATGCGTACACTATAAAAATAAAAAATAAATAGGTATTTACCTAAACATATATTAAGTACTTTGATAAATTTAATTAATATTATTATACAAGGTAATTCACCAAACATGTTCACTTCCATTTTAGATTCTAAGCGAAGCGATGAATGTATCGATTTGAAAATTATGGGTGATTTTATAATTATTTATTTTATTTTTTTGTGTCTGTCATCACGATTTCTTGCAGTAAAAATGCTTCGATTTTCTCCAACACCAACTTTTCTGGTAGGAAAGTAAATCTAGCTGTTGCATTCGGTCAAAATTTAAAATTCCCAATAGCTTTCCAAAGCGACAGAAAAAAACAAACGAAAAATTAAAAAAAACGGGAATTTCTACAAAAAAAAAAAATCGATTTTGGTTTTTAGCGTAACTATCAAAAATGACCAGATACATGACATTTTTACTGAATATTTGTGTTGGAATTTTCTATCCACCATACAATTTTTAAAATATTTTGACTTGTGTTGAAATATTTATAGGCATATGAAATTTTCAATAATTATTTGTTTTTTTTAAAACTATAATGTCGATGAAAAATTTTTCGCTTGGTCAAAAAACTTGTAAACGTAATACAACGTTCCTCATAAGTTGTTGGTGCAAGTTTTAAAAAAAGTTAAGAGTAAGCCCATAATAATTTTTTATGAGCGTTTAAACTTCAAATGTTGAAAAAATTCGTAAAATTCATGAAAATTAGCAAATTATATTTAGTTAGAAATTCATAAAAATTGTTCTATTCATATCTAAGATTAAAAAATGTAATAGATGATCCCTAAGAAGTTTGTCTACCTTCATCAAAAAAAAAAAATTTTCTACCGGAAAGTCAAATTAAATTTTTTATGAGAGTTTGTAGTTTTCTCTTTCACTCGATTTCTCTTGTAGCTATTTTCTTATTTTGCTGTAACTCAAAAACTAATTACTGTAACACACTAGAAATTTAAACAAAATTTTTATTTCATCAATTTATATACTTGATAATATTTTCAAAATATTTTGACTCATTTTAAGCTGTTGACGGGAATTTTCATTTTTTTCAATATTTTTTTCTATAAATGTCAATAAATTTGTATTGGTTTGGTCAAAAAGCATAAAAATTTAATAAAACTCTTGATACCTCGTTACAATAGTAGTTGAAAAATATTAAGAATACTTAGGCATGATTTTTTTTATAAGCGTTTAAAGTTCAAATTTTGACAATATTTATCAAATTGAAAATTGAAAATGATTTTTTAGTAACAAATGTATAATATTTTTAGTTTAAAATTTAAAACAAGGTAGGTTTTTACTCAACTTTAAGAAATCGAACAAATAAATTAATACAGTTATTTTCTACAGACATTTTAAGTTAAAATTTGGACAAAATTGCATAAGACAAAGATTAACGTTTATCATTTTGTTGTAACTCGGTTCCAAAACAGCAAAATTGTACATAGGTATATTTAATATTTTTCCAGCATCACTGACAATTTAAAAATAATACAACTCTACTTACCGAATACCGGCTACCGCTACCGTATTAATAATAATTAATAAACTAATAATTAATAAGTAATAATGGTATAAAATATCCTAGACTGATATACCGTCTCCGATCAGAATCGTTTTTCGTAATGGTATGATATCATTGAATCAATATATTAATATATTGAATCCATTAGAGCGACCTCCTAGAGTCCTATAGACACCTAAATATGTACAGCAGGGAGACATCCACTTACCCGCTTTTTTCATTTAATAATACATATATTTAAATTCTGTTTTTTTTTTAGTTTTTAAATATACTTACACAAAGACAATTTTTGTACTTCTTAAGGAGAGTCTTGTGGGCTGTGGCGATACAAACTTATCAACTTATAATAATGTCATAGTGTTAACCTTAATACGTAGATTATAATGGTCCTCATATTGGAATAACTTGCCTGCAAACTTTGCTTCAATGGCTCAATATATAGGGACATTAAACCCAATATTCCTAATAATATCTGGTTCAGAAAATTAGATATGCATAGATTACATATTATACAATTTAACAGATTACTCACAAGTCATTCATAATTACCTAGTCATTCGTTCAAACTTGGTTTAAACGATTCTCTTTTTTGTACACTTCATCTCAATGAGTGTATTTGCGATCTATCTCATATATTATTTGATTGCCATGCTTTGATATCCGAACGTCTAGTTTTAATTAATTATCTTAGGGTCGGTATTTCATATTCCACAGATCTTTTAACTGTCTCTTCAATCTCCACTCCATTCTCAATACTAATTGCATCTTCACTATTAAAAGTATTATTAAATTTATCATCTTCACTATTAAAAGTATTATTAAATTTATTTTGGATGCTGGCTTTATTATTTAATACCTATGTTCTTCATATGTATATATATTTTATATTATTATACATCTATAAGTTATGATAATTATCGCTAGCAATAAAAAAGTAATTAATCAATAATAAGTATTGAAACCTCGTTAAGTAAGAAATGGGCAGATTTGTATCACAGTTGTTTGACAAAAACAAGGAATAAAATTATATCCAATTATAATGAGTATTTTTATTTTCTATTATAATGCATAGGCAATTTAATATTATTTACAATTAAGAATTATTGTAACACTAAAAATAATGTTAAAAGAACAAAAAATACGCCCGGACAGGGACTCGAACCCTGGACCCTTAGGTTAAAAGCCTAATGCTCTACCGACTGAGCTATCCGGGCTACGATCGATAACTGATAATTCAGCTATTTAGGTAATGTTTAGTAAGTTAGTTTATAATTTAGACTTCAACAAATCTAATATTGAAATAATTTTGAACTTCAAACGCTCATAAAATATTAATTCTACTTTCCTGCATACTTAAATTGTTTTATGAACTATCGATATTTATATGAAAAAAAAAATAAAAAAACTAATTTCAAATACTGGGTTTAACAGATCTGACAAATGAAATAACTTTTAATCTAATCAATATTTAAAACATTTTTTTTGTATGTATAATTATAGTCACTTGCGTCATAAGTACAATATAACTTTTTTCATTTTTATATTTTAATAAAAAAATAAAAAATTTAAAATTTAATAATTTTTTTTTGAAAAATTCAAAATAGCAAATTTGAAAATTTAATTTTTGAACAAATTTCGAGAGCAAAAACATTTATGAAATGTATTAAAGTCAAGCAGATTATTTTTAGAAATTTTTTAAATGACAATATTTTCTTGGAGCAAATTATTTTAAAACATGCTTAATAACTTTTTTTAAAAAAGGTAATATATTTGAAAATTTCCTGACAAGGATATTTGTTTATTTTATTTTATTTTATTTTATTAATTTATTATCTATTCATATAATTTATATAATTATTGTTGCAGATTGAACTAATATACATTTCTTATTTGTCTGGTCTTCCTGGTACACTCTGTATATATGAGTGATGTGTCCAGTGTCCATATAACAGAGTGTGAAGTTGTTGCTCATGCATAAAAGACAAATGTTAAAAAAGGTAAGTTATAGAAATTTATGATTCAATAGTCTTTACCATGTCCCCCAAAACAAAATTAAAAAATATAAAAGGGTACTGAGTAAGTAACTGAGTTATATTGTAGTGTGCTGTTTGTGTAGACATAATGTGGTGATGTATACCTAAAAAATATTC